TCTCTTCACAGGGTCCTCTCCCTCTTATTATCTTAAAAGCATCTCTGCAACACTGGGCTCAATCAATATTTCACAGCAGCTTTCCCTGTCATTCTGTTGTTTTAGTGGAAGGTATCGGAAGTTCAGCAAATACATGCTCTAATAATCCAGAAGAAATTCGGCAGTACTCTTTGTGAAGGCTACAGTAAAAAAGCCATCTGCTTGATGTGTGCTGTAGACTGTGTATTTTTTTGATACAGCGTGACGTTAGTATTCAAAGCATTTCATATCTGTGAGGGCAGTCCTTATTACACAGTGTAAGAATACAATTAGTATATGCAGCAAAAAACCAACAAAAAAACCCTTTAGATGTGTTCTTTAGCCACCGAAAAGGACATTACCGCTGACATTTACTTCCATTTATACGCTTTTTCATAATATTATGCATTTTATAGCTTTGACGGTGCCCCGAGGCACCACTCAAAGTCTTCCTGCAGTAAAACACACTAAAACTGCTGATGCTGTAAATGACAGCAGCACACATATAATTCAGAAAAAAAAAATCCAAGACAGGAACCCTCAATGAATTGTTTTTATTAACTCCCTCATTTAGAAAACACAAATGCACCAAACGATATCATACATGCACAGCTTCAGCATATCAAGATCAGCTGATGACTTTTCAATGTGAAAACGCTGCTGCCACGATCTCACGGAGATCACCTCGACATGAACATATTGAGGAGTCACGACAGAAAGGCCAAGCGTTGTAACCCAGAGCTGTAATCGTAAAGTCTGTCCGCACTTAGAAATCCAATGAAACTACTCGCACTTGTTTTAGGATCAAATTAGCCTTTTCTGAAAATTGTAAAGCTGTATTGGTATAAAAAGACAAAAAGTACTCCTAAATAATACCACTCGTATTATCCACTGTGCACTGGCCGGCTACCTTGTAACAGGTAGGTGTTTGTGTCACTGCACCAAAAGGCTGTGTGTGATAGCAGCTGCTAGGAAATGTTACTCTCTGCTCATGTATTTTTCAGATTCGGGGGTTTGACTGAGAATTACAATTGGAAGCAGCACTGTTTGGTTTCCCGGTTGGGGGAGGGCGGGGACGTTGCTAAAAAAGCCAAACGAAATACATACACTATGTACAGCATCATTTATGAAGGCAAGGGAGATCTCAGCGCACCAACTTTTGATTTAGAAATCTCTGGCTCTTAATTGTTCTGTTAAAAACAACACTTGACCTTTGTGCAGAATCTTTAGGGGGAAAAAACTCAATCAGTAACCATATCAAACATTAAAAAAAAGAAGAAGAAGATCAAAGTCAAACTCAAAACATCTCCACAGTACTGATACGTTACAAAACAGAGGTTGGCAATGCTTCTATGTACCCAAAGACACAAGTTCTTTTTTTTCAGTTCATATAATCAATAAATTAGCCAGAATAATGCATTTCCTGTGTAAACATCTGTTAGTCTAACAATGTCATTCTGCGATGAAAGAATGTATACAGATTAACCACACGTAGAGCCACGAAAACAACGAAACACGAGTCAAAGACAGCTTCAACACTCATCGGGGAAGTAAACCTTTACATTTAATGTGAGCTTTACCTGCAACATGCACCTGATGTGCCCTTGGATTTGGGTCCCTTTCTGGTTTTTAAATCTTACTTAGTCCTTCGCTCTGGGAATCTGCGTTAATTGGACAGACATTTCAACTCCTCCCTGAGTCAAACTCACTTTTTAAAAATCTCTACCTCCCACATTGACCTTGTTTTGCTCTCGTTCAATGTCCGCAATGCTTCAGTCGCACAAAGCTTTGAACCATAGCACAAGAAATGAGTTTAACCCCCCTCCTCCCTCCAAATAGATAAATGGTTGTCTGAAAGCACTTGTCCATGATGTGGCAGACTAAGGTAATAACCGTGCACAATCATGCTCGTACACATTTACGCACGCACCTTTCATCGTGTCGTCTTGATGAGATTGTCCTGATTTAGTCTTCCCTAAATCCTGATATATTCGCCTTCTGTGAGTGTCATTAGTACCATTACTCCTATGCCCTTTCCCCACAGAAACCCCGCAGGGCTGCTCTAATTTATTAAGATGTTTTAATGTCTGCTAAATCTTGGCACACATCAGGCTTTCCGTTCATCAAGTCAGACTGTTAAATAGACCCCTGTGTCCTGCGCTGACACATTTCAGATCTATCCGCTTCTGCCATCTCAGAGCTATTGAGAGATGAAGTGAAGCAGGTCTGAATACCTGAGCTGCGGGGATTCGCTGAAATACATAAATAAACAATGACAACACGGACCACATAAAAAAAACACAAACAACCAATACGACTGACAACAAAGGACAAATTCACAGAGTATTAAAAACACCGCTGACCACACATTTAGCCAAATAATGTCTAAGCTGGTGGCTAGATTTCAATTATCAGACTGGCACAATTGGCAGCGCTTTAAACCTTTCGTCCCGACTGCAATGGCTGTGTGGTCCCAGATGGATGTAGACTGGGGCTGCAACTGATGATTATTTTCGCTATTGATTAATCAGTCAGTTGTATTTCCCATTAATCACTCAGAAAACTGTGAACAATGTATATCCCTCTTACTCAGAGCTGGAGGCAACATCCAAAGATTGCTCATTTTGTTTGTTTCAAAGCTCAAACATATTTGGATTTTCTTTTTCATGCCATACATTAAAGACATGAGAGTTCTGGATTGTGATTGGCCACTAGGTGTGTCTTCGTGTTTGGTAACTAGGCAGCTGCTTTATTATAAATTAGCTCATCAGCATTGAACTGGTTTGACAAAATAAGCTTCACTCATGGAGCTTTCAGTCGACATGAGGAGAGAAATACAGCTGAAATCTTCCAAACAAGCAAAAAGACTCCTTAGTTCAGATTCTTTGTGTCATTTCTTTAAATTGTATTGCCTTACCTATATAACTCTATCATAGAGATGCTATACCACCCTTGTGCGTGCATTAACAACAGAACCAGTGGCAGGCTCTGTTAGGAAAGAGCAAATTCAACCATGTCGGAAGCATAAGAATTTGTCTTTGACACCGCAGTGAGGTGTAAAATGCAATAATTGTCCAAGAGAGACTTTGAGTCTTTCACTGAAAGCGCTGGTAATGTTTCAGTGTAAAAACCAGGTGTTTAACAAATAAAAAACGCGACAGAGAAGTTCAAACCCAGCTTACTTTCTCACCTCCACACGGCTGGCAAATCACAGCGTGAAGTGGGTGTGAAGTGATTGTTGATATTGTCAGTTTAGTCAGATAGAGAAATTTGTTTGTTTCGACTACCTGACGTGCCCCATCTGATGAAGTAAACAAATAAGTAAGCTTCAGAGGTGCTGGCTGTGAATACTGGACAAAGTCAAGCTGATGGTTTGCTAAGCTATGCTTACGCACTGGTCCCATTGTCAATGTGCTGACACGAGAGTGGTATCAGTCTTCTCTTTTAACCAACCGTGGAAATATCCATTTGAATGTGACATTAGACTCAATGACATTTTGCTTTGCTCCGTGCTATCAAAGGTCAGTAACCAGCGGCCTGTACTACAAAGCAGAGGATTTCTATCCAGGTAACTTCAGGTTAACCCTGGGTTTTCTTTACTATGAAGGTGGTTCGCTTTTTATCGCCATAGTAACTCATGCTGTGAAGCTAAAGAAGCTTTTGTTCCATTTGAGCAACCAACAGGTATGAAGTCACCTCCTACTGATTGATCAATTCTCCAAAAAAGCATCATGATTCCTGAAACATCCCTCACATCTGTGGATAGCAGGAGGGTCTAAAGGGAAATCTGTGAATTTCCCTGATCAGCATCAGGAATAAATTTAACAACAATTTTATTGTTCTGAAAGCGTTAATATGTGATCCTAAAATCCTAAACCAGAGGAGCTACTTGACTATTTTTTATATTTATTCTTAACTCCTCGACCGTTAAACACCACCAGCGCTGCAGCAGAAAGAATAAAACCTAAAACTGTCTTTTAAACATTAATTAAAGGGAATATTCGATTATAATCCATCAGATTCTCCTGTGTTTTAATGATAGAGCTGTGATATCGATAATTCAGTAAAGTTACACAGTGGGCATTTTTTCAGTCCTGGCTTCAAACAGGCTAAACGCTCACGCTTTTATACAGCGCGTTTAATACTAAACTACTGTATAGCGCTTTTCCTCACGCTGCAGCAGCTGTGTTGGTTTCAGACTTCATTTTCTTTTCTTTTCCAATTGCATAGTTTTATCTTCTTTTCTCTGTGATTGGTCAAACGTGCAGATCATTTTGCGAGAACGTGCTGGTCGAACCCTGGGTTGACTTATCAAGTTGATAACCAGCTAACCAAGCGTAAGTCTGTGAAGGTTCTCAGTCATCCAGGTCATCGTAGTCAAAGGAGAGTCCCAGATATAAACCC